AATTATCTAATCGTAAGATGAAGGGATACGCACTTGTAATTAATGAGGTAGATTAGAAGACCATTGAACGATACAGCAGTTACGACAAAGACTGCATAGTAGCAGTTGACGACCAGTGGGTTCAAATCAGACATTCTGCATCTGAGTATAATTGGAGAATATGATGTTTATCTTAGAGGCAGACGCACCTGCCATTAGCATGTCTAAAGAACAAAAAATGGAACTGGTAAAAAAGTCTACGAGGCAAACCATGGAGTAAAACAGCTTTCAAATGTTAAAGGAATCTTGCGCGGAAAATTCTTGCACTCTTTCCTAACATGAATATGTCAGTTGTGATCACTGGAAATAGCACACAAAGTTTCACGCATGAAGATTCGGTTTCTGAAGAGAAACAAACGTACAAAAACTACACGTTATGGACCATCGAAGGACCAGGAGGCAGAGCCAGGCGAGGCATGGAAAGAAGACGGCGTTTGGCCGGCTACGTACCAGGCGACGCAATGAGAGAATCGGGTTAAAGCGCGCGATTTCGGAGAGTGGAGACAAATCGATCGATGGAATAGGATGGAGTAGAAGTGTAAGATGTGAATGCAACGAAGCAGAAGGCCAGAAAGAGCTTCTAGTGAATGCACTCCAAGAACCAAGTTTGAGCATCCCCGTCGCCAGCATTCGTGAAAGACGTCCGTGGGCAATTCGAACGCGTAGCAGCCTTTTCGAGTTTTCGAATTTCTAATCAAAACGAAAGCAATACTTCAGTTCTTTTCACTATTATCGTGGATAATGAGTCTCAAGCCAGTGATTTATGGCTGAAATAGAATCATGATTTTTCCGCGCAAGATTCCTTAAATCCATACAGAACGAACTGTCACTCAACCAACTATTTAACTTTCCACTTTTTCAAAAGCTCTTCTGTTTCCCACTCGGTTTAAAATAGCTCTACAGTGTTTAGCCTCGTCTTAGAGGAAATAAGGAGCATACGTCAGAGTGAGTAATAGTCTGAAGACAAACGCGTTAGATGATCAAAATGTGAACTTATCCCACGTTGATGTCGAATTTTCCTCTCCCCCTTCAAGCCCCAAAACAGGGTTTAGACAATTACAGCCCCAAGTTTGATTCGTTTCGAATCAGTCTGCTGCAATTGTCTAGACATTAATATGCAAAATAACGTGAAATCGGTAATAGATATGGATGTTTGGCTAATCGCACGCGATGGCTGCTGGCTGAGCGCTTTCCATGGTTCTATCCTCTTTTCCCAACAGTTTGAACACAGAGTAACAGAACTTGTTTTGCAGAGCTTGCTCGATAACGAGGCGGAAGTGAAAGCACTAGTGAACAGTCTCGGAAAAGCGAATGTGGGTTCGAAATAGTATTGGGCTGAACCATAATTTCTGGCCGAATTTCGACACTTTCATTTCATTGAGTTTTTTCTTTCCTGGAGAATAACTGATCAACAATATAACCACCATCGCAATCGCTGATATGCATTCATTTGCTAGGCAGCGAATGGATGCATTCCTCTCAGAACGAGTGGAGCTATGGGATGAAGAGTTCGGAGAGGTCGTTTTTGGGTGGTTGTATTCAGTGACCCCTTTCTCTCGAAGGTACTGCTTCAGGGCATCGAGAAGGGGATAGTGCGATGAAGTAATGTTAGGGCTATACGATAGATGTGGTATCGCGATCCAGCCAGTTTCCCTCAGAAGGTGGCGAGTTATCTTGCAATGTGAGGTCGGGCGTTCATCCGGAGGAAGGAGATTTTGAGACGTTTCGAATGGTTCTCTCGCACTGCTGCGGCCAACCTCGGGAGTTATTCCATGGTTATCTTCGCAGTGGTTGTCTATATAAGATGAAGCGGTTCTCAAAGTGGGATACCCGACCAATCCTACAAATTGGGGGTAATATTCTCTGACGAAAGAGGTCGGGTTTTGGGTGAGATGGTGGGTTCAGGCTGCGAGATAGCCATAAGGCGTGCCGCGTGTTGTTGTCGTAGTGGACTCATGACTCATCTCCACTGGTGACCGACTAGGGAAAGTCCAGGCTATGCCTCGCAGAATGAAATTTCTGCAGATGGTCAGGTCTGCTTCTCGGTCATGGTCAGAGATGCATGCCGTTCCCATCGAAACTTCATTCTGCTACAGCCCGTTTCATTCAGACAGCTTGCGGTGGTGCATCGGCTGTGCCCAGGTATCTGCTACAAATCTCAGGTGGTAGCGTCCGGTGAACTTCCGATTCACAGCGCAATGGATCCTCATCGAAAGTGACTGGGGGCCAGGATGAGGTCAAACTTTGCAGCTTGTATCGCCTTTGCCGATGCTTTCAAGCCAATAGCCCAGTGCCCGATCAGTAGCAAAGACTGAGGCAAACACAGCGCTGGTCTTGCCTACTGCACTCCTTGCAAGGTTCTTCTTTAAATGATCGTTAAGCATAATCGCCTGCTTTGGTCGTTGATCCATTTCGATCCCTACTTACTTATTCCACTGCCCTTTGACCTTCTGGAACATCCTAGTTTAAGGTACTGATGCCTCCTTCAACATACTAACTTATTTCGTAATGACACTAATTTGACATGAAGAAAATTGATTCTGAAAAAATTCGGCCAGGAATTATGGATCAACCCAATATTTACGACCTATGCGTAACTCATGTGATATTTTCGTATACTTATCGTTTAGGTGATGTTATTACGGAATCATGGGTTTTTGATTTGTGGACGTACAGTCGAGGATGCATTTCACCTAGCCTTCCACGTGGTCACTTCCTGTGAAATTCAGGCATGCTTTTCTCTTGATTGTCGCTCAAGTGCCATTGCCTCAGAAATTGCCTCCATTGAGAGGTCACTTACACTAACGAGTCATCGTGTTTCCGTGTCTACGAGCGTGAATACGCACCCAAGTTCTAAAGCATGTTACGTGGCTTAACCTGTTGGGCTACCATTACCGATACAGACCATTCAAATCGTTCAGCGTCTTCCAGTGTGGCCGCGTTTTCACACCGTCCACATTTTCGTGAAAAAAAAACTCTGGTCTTCCCTCGCCTTTCGTTCTGCGTACCGATGCAAGATTGCCTCACACATCCCTCCCATCCCCATCTCGTTCTCGCCCTTCTAAGTATGTATTCTAGCTGAGACTATGTTCGTTTGGTGTGACCTTCACAGAAGCGTTGCCACAGGGCCGCATGAAGCGTGAATGCCTCCTATGCGTAGAAAACTTCACCTATTCCATTAATATTTTTCGGAGTCCCGTAATGTTCCTCGCTTGATAGAGAGACTTTCCGAGGCTATTTATGGACTGAAAAGCTATATTTAGATACGAGCAGCACGGGCAGGAATTGAGCACCTCTTCATACCTGACGAAAACGTAATCGAAAAGGCGCAGTCTGCACGCGGAGGTAGGCTTTGCTCTTATCTATTCTCTATCTCGATCTCTTCTCTACTTCGTCGAGTGCGTTAGGTGGAACATTTACTCACCTTCCTAACGTTTCGAGTGAACTTTCGCCTTCAGAGGTCTGAATATGTTTCAAGTGTTAGTGTCATGCTCTGATAACAAGTACCTCATCGACTCGAACGCTTCCTTCATCGCGTTAGAAACCCTCAAAGAAGAACAGAACATAGCGCAAATTGAGGTCACCGGCGGTTCCGCCCTTCTGAGTAGAGAGGTCTCGTCACAAAAGAGCGTTCGCCAGTTGCAACTAAAGAGCATTTCACTGTCTCCTTATGTCAAAAATAATTAAGAACGTACCTAACGCTCTTATTCTACAGCTCGCAGTGCGGAATAAACGGCAAAAGGCCATTTGTTATTGAGGGATGCTCATCATCAGCGTAGGCAATTATGCACGACAATGGGAATTCATAGCTGGACTCAAATTGGACTCTCCAGTTTTCTATGGCCTTTTGGAGCTACACGGCGCCACAATCAAGCAGCCTGCAGCACTTGGCCCATGGCACCAGGCACCCCGTCGAAACACGCTACCCTATGTATACTTTTATATTTGATAAGGTTAGCACTGCCATCCGGTACCATCACGCCAACTTTGGAAGAAGCAAGGTTCAGGAGCACAAAGGGGAACGTAGTAAATGCACTCTGCTGCTGAGCAGGGTTGGTCCTATCGTTGTTACTTTTCCCTCCCCCAAGGTGGCCTTGACACCTCGACCCACCATCATTCTATCCATACTATTTAATTCTGATACCACCACGAAACTCCGCCCACTTTTCCCTCCAAAGTCGAGCGGGTGGGAGTGGGGGGTATATAGCTACTCCGAAACGGTAAAAATTCTCGAAAATTTCCTATAATTTCCTCTATTTCCACCATTTCACCCCTACTTTTACCCAATTTTACCTATCTTCCCACAACCTCATTTTCTAAGGGAGCGGGGTATATATGCACAGCCTACTACTCGTGGTGTACATATGACATGTAATTTCACGCGACTGAAGCGGATACGACCCCCCCCTCCTATAAACTCAACCAGGTACGACCCCCCCGTTGTTACTAGTAACAACGTAGGGTTGACCCTGCTCACGAGGCGAATGTTCTGCGGCGAATGTTCTGCGCGGAGTGCATGAGAAGCTTTCTGGGCTCTAACCAGAACAACCAATGTGCCAAACATGCTTGGCGCCCCTCTATAACAATGTGCTACATGTGTCTTCTATAATTTTTTGCATGATGAGACAGTATGGCTTTTCTCATTTGCAACTAACGACTAACGCTCTTGTGTGGAAGCGTACCTCTACTTACAACATACATGCCATGTTGCAAGTAGAAGAATCAATTGAGTACATCGCATAACTGAATTCTGAAGAAGTGGAATAAAATAGGTTCTTTGAACTATTGTGGAATACTTACAACCATTCATTCAAGGTGACAGAACGTGCTACTCGTCCGCAAAAGAGCAGGCTGAAAATGCAACGAAGGTAGAAGAACTCGAATGGGAAGCCTGGATGCGGGTTTTGGATTGCGCCGTACGATTTCTGTGCTCTCTCGCTCCTTACACGCTTTGTTATATGTAGTAATGGAGAAGGAGAAATTAGTTTCTCCGATGATTTAGGGTTTCCGAACGGGCCATGTTTATCGAAAACCTTCTTTGCTCTCCAAATCCGTGACAACTCACTCGTCTGTGAATGCCAGTGAGGTAGCTGTTCCTCCAACTTCTTCAGCAACTGGAATGGTGAGGTCGATTTAAGAACAATGATTCTACTCTTTTGACGTTAAAATCCTTTCATGACCTTTCCTGCCACTGAAATGAGAGGCAATCAGCTTTCTATCATAATAAGAAAATTCCTGCTCCTTCTGCATGTAATATGTTGTTCGAATATGTTGGGACTACTTATGCCAACGAATTTGTAGATGTTGACTAAACTAAACTTGCACGCAGAGCTGAACTATGGTTGTAAGGAAAGTTCCGCAACACTCTTTCTAAAACTTTCGTTTTTTTTTCTGAAAAATTCCTAGGTAATATTTATGACTATTCTTCGCGCGGAGTCCAAGTCTCTGAGGCGTAGGTTAGGGCAGGAAGGACAGCGGAATCGAAGAGGTGGGCACGGAGCCGGATGTTCTTCGTCTTCTTCACTACTCCCTCGATGTTCTTGTACGCTCCCCAAGCCGCTCGTTTCCTCCTGCTCAGCTCTGGAGCTAGATCGTTCATCATATTGATTTCCCGACCTAGGTACACGTAGCTGGAGCATTCGGTGATGTTCGTTCAGGCAGGACGAGCATGCGGTCAGCGTTATCCAACGCGCTGTCGAGAGGACGATGCTAGGAGTAACCCTATACACGCAAGTGCAGAGGGGAATCCGGAGTTCGAACTACGCCAACGATCGAAGATCAGGGACGCTGCCGTTTTCGCCAAGGAATCGAAGATAAGGTGGGCCGGACACGTCATGCGATTTTGCGATGACCGTTGGACCAGAGCGGTTACCGACTGGATCCCTCGGGACGTCAAACGAACACCTGGACGACCGCCGGCCCGATGGTCAGACTTCTTCACGAAAGCTCTGAACGAAAGGAATGAAGGACTTCGTGTCCCTCGAGCGAGGAGGATCCACTGGACCACTCTGCACGCGACAGGGACGAATGGAGACGTTGCTGGCGCCCGCTCGAGCAAATCGATGATCAACGGGACGACAGGTGATACAGGTGAATATTTATGACTACAAATGGTAGAGCATTCTCGAGGCTTCAATCCACGAGGTGGATATAAGTGCTGCAGTCAGTAGTTATCCAAGAAAATTCAAAAAACCTCGACCACTAGTAAATCCGTACTCCGAGTCACTGTCTAGTACAAATGTCTCCATAACTATGGATTCGTGTCAACGACCGACACTATCTGCAATAGCTTCAATAGGCATGTCGTTCACCGCTACAGCGTGTTTCACCTTTACCAGCGCTTTCGATCTTTTGATATTTTTATAAGAAGCCAGCAGCGTCCCACACACTCCATTACAGGTAGGGCTCTTACGGAAGCTCCACTACAAATTCTTCGTTATGGGCACCATTGTGTAGGTAGAGGTCTAGGCTGCGGAACTCCAGAAGCTGGCCGAGGCAGCTCGTCAGGAGCCCTCGTACCGCGACAATATTCATTTCTTTCATGACATTGCGAATCACCATGATCCGAAATGAGCCCGGTAAGAAATTCTGGAGCTGCGGCAAGATTTCTTACCTCTCTTAGCGTATTCCCCTGGTCGAGCTGTAATGACTGCCACCTATCCTGGACCTTTAAATCATCATCTTGATGACGAAATAAGTTCGACGACCAACTAAAACTCGAAAATGAGGTTTGAGGAGAGGGTCGAGAAAGGAGGAAGGCCTCCTTTCTCGACCTTCACTCTGCTGGGTTTTGGAAGAAGGAGCATCAAGAAATTTTCTGAGCGTGAAGACAAGTGGTGGACACTCATGGTAGATATAAGACCGGTCAGGAGTTGTAAACAAAAAGATAAACTCAAAATGGGAAAAAGGTTGCAGGACATTCTTTCCAACCTAATATACATGTACTGATGGTGATCAGTGGTTTGATATTGGATTGCAGCATGTGCGACTTTAGATGTTCAGCCTTGTACCATTCAGATAGACGGGGATGACTCGGAAGCTGTGGCGGCACACAAGTTAGCGCTTCTTCGGAAAGAACAGCAGGAAACGCAATGGCTTAACAGTCCCAATGTCTATCAGAAGGTTGAGATTTTGGAGACTGGAACAGACAACCCAAAAGTTATCACAAAGGTTCTTTGTCTCCTTTTTTAATTTTTTCTATTTTTTTATTTGTCCGTCTGACGTTTAGTGGATACGCGACGCAATATCTCCATCATCGAGCGGAATGCCGGTCAAGATCAGCATGCCACAACAGTTCAGCCCAGTGTCGAGCAATCAAAAAGAATTCAAGGATAAACAACGGGCAATCAGGGTAACTTTGGTGATTTCCACGACAAGCTGGGATTTGGTTTATCATTTAGTTGTGTATCTCAAGGAAGAAAAGTCCAATTCCAGTAAAAAATTCTATCGAGAAATTTGTCTATTCTTCAAATCTATTCCACAGTCCAAAATTCCCGTCTTAATCGCTCCAGTACGCAGAAAATGAGTGCTTCCGATGCATTCCATTACCATGTTTTCATTGCTTCCAAGGATCTAACAGATAACCCCGGGCACAAAAGTTATCATGCTTATTCCCTGTCGTGTTGCGGTGCTTTGAGACTTTTGATTCTTGTCTGGGACAAATATCGTCCCCTACTCGAACTTTCGAACCCAAGATTACGCTACACGTCATTTTCAAAATTGGAATTACTCGCAGTTCACTGTGAGGTTTTATATCAATTCCTATTTTGTTGGTGGCGCTAGATCGAAAACACAGCTGCAGTAGCCACTTAGCTATATTTAACACATTGACGACAACGCGAGTTTTGGCTTTTTTGGCCACGTGGGACCGCGGCGATTTTGCGGGCGCGCTCGCCTCAGGTCGTTCAAGCAGATTTTGAGTGATAAATACATAAATAATGATCAATACAAAACCAGATCAGTAAATTGTAATGAGCACAACCTACCAGGGTACAGTAGTGGAATTTCGATCGAAAGACATGGAATAACAATGAAAAAGCGAAATTTGTCAGAACTAGCTGCAATGGACCTCAAAAGCAATTTTACGTTGATTATTTCAATCAAAACACACATATTGTCATCCCTAAGGTTCCGTATCTACTTCTACTACTATTTAAATCTTCACATTCATAAAAAGAAAAAGTAAACGAAAAATTTATTAAACTGAAGATTTCGTATGGTTCAGAAATCCTCCTCTAAATTAAAGCATACGTGACCATTCTATGGGCCACTATGTTTGTAGCTACGTCAAGGTCTCTTCCATGGAATAAATACAAGAAACTTCTAAAAGAATCAGGCGTGCGCGAAAAAAATGAGTGTAATGGGTGCGGGGGATATATATCCCGCACGGTCCGACATGGCCTGCAATGCGCGGGATATATATCCCCCGCGTTGTCGTCAATGTGTTAAAAACTTGGCTAGTGCGAATTATGCCGTTAAACGTATATTTCAAGAAAGTAAGAAATGAATCTGTGGCTTTAGGAAAGTGGAAGGCTTGGAAAAACAACAGCTGGTCCACAAAGCCAAATTCTCGATGGAGTCACATATGAAGACATTTCAAAAATGACGGTTAGTTCGAGAGCTAATATTAAACTGCTAATCGATGCTCACATAAGAAGCTTCATCCAGTAGAATCCTGTTTTAATCAATGAGCATAGCTTCAGCTTTCTTTCTGTAGACAAGTCATCTGAATACGTAATGACGCTATCCCGCCAGTAAATTGTTTCCCTTTTGCAGATTAGGGGTTGGCAATAGGCAAAGGTAGGGATGCACTAACAAGGGAGGTCGTTCAGGGTGTGCCAAGCTTTTTCAAAATGGTTTCTTGCATGATATAGGGGCACATGGGAACCACAGAACCATGGTTAATTTTTCCTGAACGGCCCTCTGAATACCAAAAGGGGGTCCCTAGTCACACCTTTTTCACCAGTTTTTCAATCAAAGTCTATTTGTAAGGGTTACTGACGGTCCTAATCATGAATATGGTACTAATTATTCATGCTAACTCCATTTTGCGCGAATTTTGAAACGTCAACTCGAAATGCAAAAATTTGTCACCACGAGGAATCGAACTAGGGACCCCCCTTTCTGGTATTCAGAGGAAACCGTGGGATGTGGGTGTGGGAACCACAGAACCATGCTTAATTTTTTCTGAATGGCCCTCTGAATACCAGGGCGGTTCCTAGTTCAGTCCCCCATGTTTTGCGTTTCGAGTTGAAAATTCGCGCAAAATGGAGTTAGCATGAATAATTAGTACCATATTCATGATTAGGACCGTCAGTAACCCTTACAAATAGACTTTGATTGAAAAACTGGTGAAAAAGGTGTGACACCACAGTGGGGCCGTTTTGGTTTTGGAGAGGCCCGTTCGGAAAAATTAGCACGTTGACGATCGTGTGGTATGATGTCATACCACACTTTCGCATGGAGGCAGGCTAGTTTTCCTAATTCTATTTGGCGTTTTCTCCTGTTCCACAATCCATGTACATTATTGAATCCGAAAAACTATTTCTTCATTACTGATAATGAAAACGCTGAAGGATTGATGCCTATTGATGAGAATACGAAAAATGTTGAAGTAGTACGCGCACAACGGCGGTCATCGACATGGTTCTGTGGCTCCCATGTACCCCAATGCCATGCAAGAATCCATTTTGAAAAAGCTCGGCACACCCTGAACGACCTCTCTTGTAAGTTACCTATCAAGTGCCTAGGACTCCGTTGTTCTACAGGGTGCTCCAAAATTATAGCGAAAGCGATTTCGAGTCGCCTAGAATGAACATGCAGAGTCAACCCTGCGTTGCGCAGTTCGCAACGGCACGTTGAGAGATCCTCAACGCACGCTGTATGGGCGGAGACACAGACGGCTCGAGCATGCGAGTGTGAATGTTCGCGCGAGAGAACGTGTCTAATCGGGCGAAACTGCGCAACGTGGCCGTTGAAAACTGCGCAACGCAGGGTTGACTCTGTCATGCCACAATTCTAAGAAGCCAAAAATGCAGGAATGTTCTCTGTTCAATCACGAGTCGTAAGCATCACAAAATCACAGGCATTCCTCCGTTGGCATTTACAGAGCCTGGAAAAAATTTGAAAAGTCATCGTATCCTACAGTTTACTCTTTGGTTTCGAATCTAGAGTGCTGACCTGTGATTCGTTGAAGCCGACAAAACTGGCCTGCATCAATTACGCACCACCTTTGCCTTATAGCGGCAGCGATATTGAGTCGTCTAGAATGAACTCATAGTAAAGCAACATTTTTTAAAGCTAAGGATAGCAATTTACTCTTTCGGAAAAGTCAAATGGTCTCTTTGATCCCCTACGGCGAACCGTGCGCGGTGACTTTAAATTTTTTCGCACCTTATGGGTGCATTTATCTTTAATGTTCGCGTCACAGAAACACGCCCTCACTCCAAAACGATTGTAATCGATTCCTTATTCCTTGTAGCGTTTAGTGGATGAATGATTCCCGAGTGTTCGCCAAAAGCTGATAATTTTTGCATGCTGGAAACTGTCGAAGTTGATAATAGTTTGATAAGAATACAATGATCTGGAAACTGTGACAGTATCACTCAGCCGTCGTAATAATCGTACATTCCGGTGAACAACATAGCGAAACCAAAACAAGCACAGAAGAAAACAGCAACTTTTGATATTGCTCTGAAATGTATGTGCATGTGTTGTCGAACCTCATTACATTCGCGTGCACCACCTGTACAGACTCCTGCCGTCACACTCGGCGAAGGACAAGCGATGGAGCGATCGCGATCCATCGCTTACATCGATCCAACGCGCGACCCTTGCAACATGCGGTCGCGCGTTGTCGTGAAGAAGAACGATATTGTCCAGCTTAGGGCGATGTTTCGCGGCTTTAGCTGCGAGCCTTCGTGGTTGTGAGCAGTACACCACACCGTCGACGGTGGTGTTGTCTTGCATGCTCGTAAAATGATAGTATACCCGAACCACTTCACATTGGTGATTCTAGTATTTCTTCTCGACCATCCATCTAGCAGAAGAACTTATTTGGATGGAGCTCCTGCTTTGGACCAGGCCAAACATCTGGCTCGCTGTTAAGCATTACAGCGACCAACTGTCCTCTACTTGGTATTGATTTACTTACCCGTAGAGCCGCCCACTATCTTCATCCTCCACTAACCGACCAATCATCCCCCCAGCTAATCACGATTAGAACGCTTCATTGCAAGAAATCTCTGCACAAGCCCCCACTCTTTGACAGTGGCATTCAATTGCCCACCCCCCCCCCTCACATGCCCCAAACACGCACACTTTGACACGCCATTTCCTGGACTGTTCTGTCAGCTCATAGGGAATCCATCGATCAAGTTTATTGACTTCCCAGCTTATGGAGGGCACGACTTATAGACATGTCAAAGCACTGCATCTTCTTTGCCAGCTCCTTGGCGTTCGCATGCGGAAATGTACTGAGCTAGTAGCTCCGAACGTTCCAAACTGACTTCCGTTGACGTCCAGGACGCGGTTCACTTCCGAGCTTGTAGTTTCCTTTGCAAAACCTTTTGAACCAATTTTAGCAGTTCATCACAATCACCACTCCTTCCCCTTTCGCAGAGCATATATTGCGGCAGGCTTTGCTCGCTCTGTGTCCCAGACAAAATTCGCAAAGAAGGCAGTGGCCTACATGGGTCGAAACAGAAACTTCAACAACAACAATCCGCGAAATGCTCGCAACCTCTATTTTGTTTTGTGTAAGCGTGGATTGGGCATGAGAACGCAGTTATCGAAAGGCTCTTCCATCCATTACCTAGTATTCTTTCTCACTCAATATCAAATAAAGAAGTAGTTTAGTCCGATAGCAGACTAAATAAACAATTGGAACCGTATTTCATTGTTCATTGGTTTAGCTGAATGGTGAAGACGTCATTGGTCAATCAGACAGGACTGTGTTAATTGGTACAGCAAGCAAAGGCATCATTGATCGCCAACACCAACATAATGCTCAAGTATGTTTGCCAAAAATATAATTGTGTCCGCATTGCTTGGAGGTTTGATAGCAATTCGTACAAACTGCGGCAATCGGTAAAAGAGCTTGTCAATTCACAAAGAGCGAGATTTCCTACTAGTTGCATATTTATTTTCCATAGAAGGCGCTTTGTTATTCCCACTAATTTAATATTCACGAAATTTGTTCAGGTGTATCGCAGCTGTACTGCATCCATCCGTGTTGCTTGCGAAACTCGACGAGACATATCGAAACTATGCAGAGGTACGTTATCGTTGTATTCCTTTCGACCAGGGAAGAATGGGTGAAGGACGAAAGTGGTCCATTTGCAATCTATGCATACCTCACGCCAAATAAATGTTGCGTCTTGAGCGCTG